GGATAGGAAAAGTCTCAACACACACCCTACACAATCTAGGAAATGCAAATGAGGAGTCAAGGGAAGACAGGCTTTCCCTCTATAACGCTGGCTTTGTAAAATGTACAAATTGGAATTCCTGGACATTTCCAGGAGAGATGGACTTTCACAACTCAAAACTTCTCAGCCCGACTCTTAGCACAAAGCTCCAGGTGAAAACTGGATTGAATAAATTCTAAAAAAAAAAATCTAAAGATGATTTGAGCTGTGTTTATAGTTGTCTCCATGCTTGTATTGACCAAAGAAATACTTAGCTATGTTTTAAAAACCCAGGAAAATTACACGGAAGAACTCAATTTCCATTTGGGCTATATACATGATACTAAGGATTGCACTGAGCCAAACACATGCACTAAGAAGGGGTATTTGGATTTTTGGGAGCTTAATGCTTCTACAGTGCCTAGAATAGCATATGCAAAAGGACGAGTTATAGAGAAGAGAATAGGAACAGAAAGACAGTTTATAGGGCAGGGAATTATCTGTACAAGTCAAGTGAGTGCACGGCAGATGGAGTAACACTGTTCTTTTACATATACACATATCTGGGCTTGCGGCAAAGAACACTTGCCCAGCAGGCCCCATGTATGAGACTCTGGGTGTGATTACCACTATCAAAGACAAAAGAAGAAAAACAGAGAAAGAAAAGGTACCCAGTAGTGGGAACATTGTTCATTCTGAATTTATAACATTCCGTGTCTAGAAAAGGTTCTACCCAGCACACAGGTAAGTCAGAAACGGTGTTTTTGTTGTGCCAAAGACATCATGTTCTATCCTAGGTGCAAAAGAAAATCTTTCTTTAGATGGGAGCAATGAACTTGATTCTGAGTGAAAGGAGACATAGTTTCAGTCATGGCAACTTGCTGGGAAAGGACAAGATCATCTCACATGTCAGAACTCATAAATGTTTGAAAAAAACTTAAAATGCAGGTTTCAGTTTTTGCCAGTTTTACCCTGAACTACTAAACAATCTTTTTATAATTGTGGAAAAAAAAAAAGCTAGTAGTGGAAAAAGCTAAATAAACAGAAAAAGATATTTATCATTATAGTGGGAACAAAATCTTTTTTTTTTTTTTTTTGGTTTCTCTTCACTAAACAAAACGTTATCAGCATGCCGAACATCTTTTGAGCCAATATGTGAAATTTGGTAATTGATCCGAAGTGAAGTTTTTAATGTAGAGTCAGACATATGGCAATATTTTACTGAAAACAAAACAAAACAAAACAAAAACACACATTTAAAATGTTTCTATACAGACAGGAAACTCCACAGAGCACCATCATCCACCTCTAGCTTTTACACCGGTGGCAGCTGCTGGTCTCTCAGAAGTCCATGAACTTACTCTTTCCTAGGTCCGCTTTAAAACGGGGTCAAATTCTTACACATCTAAGATCACCTCTCCCTTGCATTAAATAGCATAGCCATAGGGAACACTGGGGGTGGGGGAGAGAATGGCACGCAGGTCGGGGAGGCGAGTGATGTCTGCAGGAAGGAGCTACTGGGGAACTCATGATCCTGTAATGCAAGTGAAAAATACAAGAGGAGATAGCAGAACATATGTGTTATGAAGGAACAGGGGAGAATCCGGGAAGCTAAAGGTCTGAGTGGGCATGGGGATGTGGGTGGTGAAAAGAAGATGTAGGGGTGGATTAGCTCTAATTATGGATTATAATTATGAAGAGGCCTTAGGAAACTCCATTAGTATGTAAGCTAATTAAAATCATCATTATTATTATTATTATTGGGGGTTTTTTTTTTGGTTTTGAACCTAGCCTTTAATGGCTGAGCCATCTCTCCAGCCCTTAAAATTATTTTTCAAAAGGAGTTTGAACAGAAGTACTCCACACCAGTAAATAATGTCGCTCTCCAGAGATACCAGTTTTTAAGTGAAAGTTTCGACGTCAGGCATGGGTTACCTCCCTACACATTATTCCTCAGAGAACACCCAGGGGCACCCAAAGCAAACCAGGCTACAGCCATTGCTCTTGCTTGTTCATCTTAACTAAATGGTAACATCTTAATCCTGGAGACAACTGCACACTTTGGTTGCAGGACACAGAGGAATCAGTCTTGAGACGATCAGAAAATTCTCCCCACAGACTGGCTTCACAGAGCTGGAAGGTGCTAATGCAGGCTGCTGGGGGACGAAAGACATCGATGGTTTTATCCATCGATAAAGTATAGTAGCTGCATGCTACAACACTGACTTTCTAGGCAAGATGTACCCACTGAGGCAACAGTGGCAAGGCCGTTAGTGGGGACAACCAGCTACTCTTTAATTTGAAGACTGCTCCCCAAGAAGAAGTTCATTCCCGATACTGCAAACATGGTCCAAACCCACGGTTACAGAAATCCTAGGGGAGAAACGATTGGCATTTTTCTAAATGGTCATGTTGGCAAACTGCCTTCTTAATACTTATATTTATTTTCAAAGCCTCTGACAGTGGGTAGTGGTTAATGCAGAGGTGGCCTTAGCGTTCGATAAGAGGCTGAGGGTAAGGGACTATGAGTGCTTAGCTAAAGATGAGACACTGATGTCATCCCTGCCTCTGTCCAACACTCAGGGAACACCGGGGAATGTGAGGGCAGAAGATTGCAGGAGCCAGGGGATGGGAGGAGTGCTCTGAAGTGTCCTCTAGACATGACATGGGGGGGAGGTGCCACACCCAAACTCACAGCAGCCGTGCTTACCCACACAAGACCTTCACAAGATCCAGCCAGTTAAAAAGTCCAGCATGGAAGGGAGTGAGACTTACAAGGCCCAGCCCGAAGCTGAGGAGTTACTGGCAGTTGATGGCTGTTGGACAGGAGTCAGTTTTTCTTTTTTTTTAGGAGTGTGGCTCCTGATAGGTTCCTCATGTTCCCCCTTGTCCACACACATATGAACAACGCTAATGAGACTTGGTGGGTTAAAAATATATTACAAAAGAGAACATGAAGTTGGGAGAGAGATGTGATGGAAGGTCCTGAGAGGAGTTGGGAGTGGGGAGTGAAAGATGGATATGATCAAGGCACATTGGATACATGTATGAAGTTTTCAAAAAATAAATAAAAATTAACACAACGCCTAACAGTACTCAACATAAGGGAAGAGAGTGTCTAAAGAGACAGCTCCATCCATGAAGTATTTAACTTGCAAACACAAGGAGCTGAGTTCTATCTCCATAACCCACATTAGAAATAATAATAATAAAAAAAAAGCCAGGCATGATAGTACAGGACTGTAATCCCAGTGTTGGGGAGGTGGAGACGGTGGATCCCTGGAGCTCGCTGGCCAGCAAGGCTAGCTCATCAGGTAAATCCTAGGTCCCACTGAGAGACCGTGTCTCAACACACAGGGCAGAGAATGACACCCAAGGTTGACCTCTGGCTTCTGTACCCACACACAGGCATGTGCACCTGATCAAACACGTGCGCTTGTACATATACACACTAAAAAAAACAGAGGTAAGATAATAAAAAATGAAACTCAAGAGGCTGCTCTGCCATGCTTTAATTACAGCAGAATATGTTCTGAATTCAGTCCTCTTTAGAGAAGTGTTTGTAAGTTATCATGACAGACTTGTAAGTTAACCTTACCACTGGGTTCCATATGCTATTCAGGACACGTGGGAGGCATGTGAGTCCAGGTACTGCTTACATTTCTACATAGATCAACTTTGGACTTCTCTGTCAGTGTAAATCCATACACAGCTAGAGAAGCAACCTGGAGACTCTGCTGAGAGACGGAACTGTGGGATTCCAGGCCTGATTACTAGAGTCATCCAGCAGCAGACCCCATACATTCTGTTTTCCTAGATACAGTCAGGTGCCATGTAACGATGACAACACGTTTAGAGAAACACACCACTAGACAACGTTGTTCTGCAGGCATCAGAGGAGGAGCTCCCATGACCTGGATGGCACGGTTCAGCCACCCAGTGTGGCCTGCTAAGTACGTGAGATGCGTGAGAAGGATGTTGATGCGACAGGGCCGCTCTTTCTTAACAGTCAACCTATATTTGGCTATGAGCAGAAGGGACGGCTGAGACGGCTCTCAGTAGTATAATAGGTATATACGTCAGCAGTGAGCCCTTTGCTGCTGAGCGTCACGTACCATAACCACAAACACTCAGGCGGTGTTGTGGTGCCAACAGCCGAGCTCCAACAGTACCGGGCGAGAGGAATTTCCAGCTCTGTCACAGTCGTAGGTCCCCCACCCCCCACCCCATTTGTGCAGTCTGATCAGACTATGGTAAGGTTGTGTGTGAACGTACACAGATACTCACACATGTATAATAAGGCTTAACTACGACTCTGGCACAGTAAGAGGTCAATGGCAGTGAATAGAAACTATGACAGTAGTTAGCCGTTACCTAAGAGTTACGGATTACTATTCGGATTCTCCATTAGAATTTTCGGACTGCGCTTGACTGTGAGTAGTTGCAACTGTAGAAAGGGAAGCTGCAGCCTAAGGGGACTATTGTATTAGCCCGGCAACTGTGGGAAAGTCACTCAAGCATTGTGAGTCTCGGCAAAAGGCAGACAATGGCGCTCTGTGTTATCTGTAACAGCACTCGGCCGGTGCGGTCTGGAGGCAGAAAGGTCATCGCCTAGGAAGGTAGTAATGGAAACAGGTACAAGATGTCCATGAAGAACTCAGAGCAGCGGCAGGCAAACGTGGGCTCTTGGTGGACCTCTGTAGGCAGCTGCCCTCCTTGCCTTGCAGTCTGAGGTTTGAGCTTTTCGGTGGCCTCTCCCTGACCTGACCCACTAGAACGAGCTAGAGCAGCCTAGGACTAGGTGATAGGGGCTCTATCACATTATTTCCATATGCACTCTTTTTTTGTGTCGTTTTGTTTTAACTTTCCGTCTAATCCTTTGCCGAAAGATTGAGAACACAGGCGTAAAAGAACCGTCACCCTAACCTGCAATTAGCACATTTATCTTGAAATGATGCAGTTTGTTTGTCTTGCCTTCTTACCTTTTCAATTTTTTCATCCAGCATTCTGAAGAATTCTTGTTGGCTTTCAGAGATGTGCATGCTGGAAAATAAAGAAGAGTAAGGGCATATTTCAGTGCTTTCTGAAACCAGGCCCTCTCAAGGGAGCGATGGGGGATGCCATAAACTCTGGGGCAGACACTTACCTACTGCAGACTTTCCCACTAATACCTCAGAGCTGCTTCAGAGCAGTGCTGTGGCACTGAGCTTGCACACGTTTCCTAAGTCTGCGAGTGCACGTGCTCATGAGGGAAGGAAGACAACTTCCCCTTGGTGGGCAGGGGTCATTTCTACTGATATTACTGAGTGGGGCCTGCCAATTTTTTTTTAATCTTTAAAAACACATTTAGGGTTTTAAAAGAACAAAATAAGGACGTGCAATGTGGCATTTTCAGCTCTGTGTGTGACAGAGAAAACTATCCTAGTTAGATGAAAACACGGGTCTTACAGAGGCGGTAGCCCTGGCATGTCCAGCTGTGAGTACCGGCTGGAGGCACTCGAGCAGAGGACGGAACAATGGCCTGACACTGCCCTTACCAGTTTCTGCACCTTTGCAGGCTGAAATTCCACTGGAATATGGGGTAAGTCAAGAAGTGCCTTTGAGCAGTCTTTACCCCTATGTGCTTGCCTGTCCTGTGCTGCTTAACCCGCTCAGTTAGGTGGCTGGTGTAGTGGGCGGGAATAGCACATTAAAAAGGCAAAGTGAGCGGGAATCGTAGGGAAGGGCATGGCAGGATGGGCCTCAGTGCTGATATGGTCCTTCTAGCCTGTCCATACTTGGAGATGTCCCATGGAGGTGAAGGGCACTGGATGAAAGACACACACTGTGTTGGTTGCAGTTTCTGGGGACAAGGGTGGAGGGCAGGCCTAGAATGGTTTCTTAGCTTTAAGCTAAGTGTGGGTTTCTGCGTGTCATTAGCATGACATGTGTGCTATTAGCATGACTCGTCACCCCTTAGAAGCCACAGGAGGGCACAGGTGTCCTGAAACCATCAGGCTTTCCATGAACTAGACTCCCATATGAAGCTTCCCTCTAGGTGTAAAGCCAAGACTGAAAAATCTGTGAGCACAGGACATCAGCTGTGCTCCGGGAGGAAAACAGTGAAAACTTGCGACACCACTACTCAGTTCACAGTTTACAAGGCACTTTCACACATAGCGTGAAATCCTGCCATCCTTTACAAAACCGCTCAAATAACGGAGATGTTCTGTTTGGGAACTGGACCCTCTTTCATATGCAGGTTTAAAGGGCAGGGCAAGAATCTGGTATGAAGAGAACCCAGTAAACAGCCTTCTCTTTGCAGGATCCTGAGCAGAAAAGACTGTGTGCACCACGTTTTCCCAGCATCCTCATTGCTTTAAACCTGTCTTTTAATAGAGCGTTCACTATTAGCCTCTGCCAGTGTTCCCTTGCTGACCACAGGCCATGATGGTAGTGTTAAATCACTACTTGCCTGTGCTACTCTGATACCCAGGGCCACCAGCATGGACAGGGCTGGTTGGTTGTCAGTGAACCAGCAGCAGCCCCAGGCAGTTTGCTTCTGTGCCTGATCCTCAGACTGTTTTCTAGCTGGGTTTTGTGGGAGTGATGATGGTCCTTCCCCAGCTTTGTGCCCTGATATAGCTTTGCTTCAGGCTTTGAAACAGCAACAGCCAAGCTTTTCAGCTCCCTCTGCAGTGAGGGCAAGGCTTCCCAAGGGTGTAGAACACAAACCTCCTGGCGCCCATGCTGGCCGCATGGCCACACTTTGGTTCTTGTTCTTGGCAAGGCTCTTAACAGTTCTATGTCCCAGGATGCAAAGATGTTAAAATAGGTGTATTAACAAAAAAGACAGATGTCTGTGTAGCCTCGTGATCCAAAAGACCCCACGGAAATGGTGTTTTTAGGTTTTGGTGCTCACGCTGCAAACTTTACTCCGCATGTGAGAGCAAGGCAATAAATACTTAATTGACTGACGGAGCGCTATTTAAATTCATGTGACTCTTGACCCGTCAAGGAGGCAGTGTGGTTTGTCAATGGGTCAGGTGCTTGCCCGCAGACTCCCCTTCAGACACAAGCAGGCGTCCTACCTAGAGCTGTCGCCACCTTCTGCTTACGTCTTCATCTAATGACTAGGACGTGAAACAGCAACGCCTGGTCAGCAGTTGTGCCTATGCACGGAGGGTCGGGAGCGGGTATCTTAACTCTGCAAGTGTGTCTGCCGGCTCCGTGATCACAAGTTCTGTATCGGGAGCTTGAGACTGAAGGTGAAGGCCACTGACCCAAGTAAGGATGTGTATGGAGACGCAAGCACAAAAGGCTCAGTGCTTTTAGTTTGCAGTGTCTACGGATCAGGGATCAGGAAACGCTGCCTGTCTGTCTTTCCGTACCTGGCAGATTCACTCTCAAAATGCACGCGGTGTGCTCCCTGAAGTAGGCGGAACTGGTGGAATGGAGGGGCCTTGTTATCGTCAAAACCTCATGCACGACATAAGCTCTTTCAGATGAATGCTTCTGTCAGAGGGACAATGGTTCACCAGAGGAACAAATGCTCCCTCAAGGTCCTACTTCCCTGTCTGAAATTTGGTTATCTTTCCTCTCTCCCTGCTAGGAAGGGACTTCTGCTGCTCTGCACACAAGCTTGTACAGCATGAGTATGGGAGGCTAATATCCGCTAGACCTAAATGTTCATAAAGCTGTACACTGGTGTCTGCTTTAACTATCAAGGCCCAACGAATACCCCACTGGGCACGGCAAAGCTCTGTAAGATGGCCTTGTACCGGTAGAAGCTTTTCTTTCTGTGGCTTCTCAGCTCAGGGAGACTAAGGAACCTTGAGGCAAAGCAATCCAATGAAGGAATGATGGGCAAAACGGGTTTCAGCGCTAAAGGCATTCGGCTTTCTTTTCCAGTGATGCATCAGGTTTCCACTCGTGGAAAACTTCAGACACAAAAATATAAGGCTGTAATATGGTTTGGATCTGATAACGACCTCCCAAAGATAACGCCATGAAGGCTTAGGATTCTCAGAGGAAGGGTCTCTGGGGGTGGGGCCCTGGGTCATCAAGTTCCCTCACTGATGGATTCATTGACAGAGTTATAGTCTAATGGGTTACTGAGGGGGTGGAAACCTTAGTGAGGGGGGCTTAGCTGGAAGATGTAGGCCAGCGGGGGCAGTCTTTTTTTTAAAATTATTTTATTTGTATTAATTACAGTTTATTCACTTCGTATCCCAGCTATAGCCCCCTCCCCTCTTCTTCTATGCTCCTCCCCCAGCCCACTAATAGGGGAGGTCCTCCTCCCCTTCCATCTGACCCTAGACTATCAGGTCTCATCAAGACTGGCTTCTTTGTCTTCCTCTGTGGACTGGTAAGGTTGCTTCCCCCTCAGGGGGAGGTGGTCAAAGAACCAGCCACTGAGTTCATGTCAGAGACAGCCCCTGTTCCCATTACTAGGGTACCTACTTGGACACTGAGCTGCCATGGGCTGTATCTGTGTAGGGGTTCTAGATTATCTCCATGCATGGTCCTTAGTTGGAGTGTCAGTCTCAGAAAAGACCCCGGTGCCCAGATTTTTTGGTTCTGTTGCTCTCCTTGTGGAGCTCCTGTGCCCTCCAGGTCTTTCTATCTCCCCCTTCTTTCATAAGATTCCCCACACTCTGGGGGCAGGCTCTTGAAGGATGCATTTTGTCTCTGGCCCTTTCCATACTCAGTGTTGTCTGTCCTGTCACTCTTGCCTCCACTTGCTTGGCTACCACAGGGTAATCAGCTTTGTATACCTCATGCTCCCGGCCACAATATTTTTGTTTCATCACAGGCCAAGAAACAACAGAGCAAATGACTATCAGCCAAAATGAACCTTCCTTTCTTCAGGTGCATATTCTCAGGTATTTTGTCATAGCAATGGTAATCTGATTTACATAGGAGGTGTCCCAGTTGTTGTTGGTTTTGTTTGTTTGTTTGTTGTCAACTCAAAATAAGCTAGAATTATTTGAGAAGAGAGAACAATAAGTGCGAAAATATCTCCATAGGGTTGGCCTGAAGGCAAGCCTGTGGAACATTTTCTTACTTAATGATTGACGTGGGAGGGCCTAGCCCATTGTTGGGGGTTTTATCTCTGGGCAGATGGTCCTGGATGGCACAGGAAGGCAGGTTGAGCAAGCCAGAAAGGGACCTTAGCTCCATTTCTGGGCCTCTACATCAGTTCCTGACCTGACTTCCCTCAGTGATGAACTACAAGCCATAAGATGAAATAAGTCCTTTTGTCCCCAAGTTGACTTTGGGGACATAAAGTCTTTATCATAGCAATAGAAACTTAAGAAGATAGAAAGTACCATCCTCAAACATATTGCTTCTACTTGCTCAATTTACCAACACCAAAGTTTTCACTAGCTTTGGGGTCTTTGTTTTCTAAAGAGCTTCCTGGCATCTGTATGCTTTTCCTGTTTATCTATCTGTGACAATTTAATTCTTAGGTCCAGATAGAAATTCAAGTGGACAGAGGCAAAGCTTGGTCTGCCTCGATACTTGCACACCCATAATTCAACAGCCAGCTGAGATCCTCTTCCTTGTATTCTGCTTTTTCTTTACGAGTGTCAGCCATTTTCAACTGAACTTTGGGGCAGAAGATTCCTTCTAATCTTTCTGACCCACTCCCAGAAATGGCCACTTTTATTTGTTTAACAGTTTTATTTGCAAAACAAACAAACAAACAAACAAACAAACAAAACAATGTAAGCACCCATAAAACTCAAGCCAAAACTAATTACCAGAACTTTGATCACAAGCTATAGCTGACTCAAGTTAGTTCCCAGCTGTGTGTCCCTCTGCCCGAGAGAAACCCTCTTGCCTTTTACCTTGCAGTGTTTCAGAATGTGCTAAAGAGCCAATTATCTGCTTTGGTTATATTTTTTAAATTTATAGAGTGCAACATGTTCTGTGTAACTAATGTAGGATTAATTTCAAATTGCCAGGGTCCAAGCAGCAGTGTGCACGGCTGCAAAGCACTTGGCTAAACTGCCAACCCATCTTTCATTGTGTAAACATCCTGTATTTCACTTAACACAGCCCCATTTAAGGGCATTTGTCGTTTTTTCTTACTCTCAAGGCATTCCTAGTACACAAGATTATGCTTGCAATTTAAAACACACATGTGTACACACACACACACACACACACACACACACACACACACACACGCAAGCACTCACGCGCGAAGGCATGCATGCCACCCATACATACTGCTGTGTGGGAAATGTGATTTTATTTTTAGAATTATTTTCCATATTCTGGAAAATCTACACTGTCATTTGTATATCATCCTCTGTTTCATAACCTCTATTGTTGTGGATATAGTCTAATGATGACATGTTCATAATTTTAATGCAGCCATTAATTAGTAAATTTCCTTAAGATTTATATATACTTTATATCTTAATTAAAATCCCCTTCTAACCAAGAGCTGTAAAACTACCCTTCTTATTTATTTATTTTACTAAACTGGCCTGAAACTGTCAACTTTGATATGCACAGAGGATGTTCTGAGACTATGTTTTGTTTGCTGTCTCAGTTACTAAAGCTTTATTATAGGCCTTGATTACCTGGTAGGCAAAAATGGAGTTTTAAAGACAATACAAGGAAAACAGAAAGTAGAACTTACTTTGCTCTGGGTTGATGGACTAATCCAGGAATTTCTTTATTAGTTTTAAGCCTTGCATTTGAGCTGGCACTTTTTTCCTGAAACACAAGAACATATATAAAATACAGGATGAGAACCTGAGATTATGCGATAGCAAGCATTTTTGTCACGCTCTCCTTGATGTGCCCCTCTATCGAAGCTGTGTACCCCACCAAGGTCCTTGCAGAGATGTTACACAATACAGGCAGAGCCAGCCAGACATTTGAACAGGAAGTACTGTAAAGAAAAGAGGAGTTGGCTTTGTAATAGGTACACTCTGTTTAGAAAACAGCAAGCAGCTAGCGTTTAATTACTGATCTTTAATGGTGAGAAAGTTGACAAAAGGTTCCAGTGTTAGGAAGAGAGGGACGGGACAATCACAGGCACTGTTTACCTGTCCAGGAGAACTAGCTGTGGTGAAGACACTAAGGACACAGTGTGAGTAAGGCCGTAGCTGGGACAAGGATAAGGACAAGGACAGGACTACCAATGACTAATAGTTTTACTTCACAGTAAATTTTGGAACTAGATTCTACTGGATTGATCAAAGCCTCTGGCTTTTAGGTTGACAAGATTTTGTATTTCCAGCATAGCAGCCACACAGGAAAGAGACATTCAAGTGTTAAAGTGCTGGTGTATCTACCATCCTGGGCTCTTAGAGACGTACAAAAAGTGCTTTACACAGAGCTCCAAAAGCATACCCTTAAAGTGGAAGGAAACTTCCAAGCCACACTAACAGGAGGCTATTCATACTTAAAGGACTTGAACTGAGGCCCAAACTGAAGTGACCACTATTTAATTTAGGAGTTAAATACCACAGAGGATTAGCTCATGAGCTTCCCCAACTGTGGAGGAGCCTAGATGACATGAAACAGACGGACCCCAAATGGATTCTTTTGTGTCTCTTTCTCTGCAGAGAGCTGACACCATTTCAGTCAGTGGCATTCCAGCCACTCTTACATGCTCTGCCTGGTTGTTATTTACCATCAGACAAGAGTGGATCTGCATAATATTAGCACTCTAGAAATATGGTCATTTCATGTTCTAAGAAAAGAACACAATTACCATTTTCCTACAGGCCACTTTACCACCTTAGAGTAAAACTGTATTCACAACCCATCTAAGACGTATAAAGTAAGGCTGGTGAGCTGGATCAGTGAGGAAAAGTTTATCACACGGGCCTGACGACTTGAGAGCCATCCCTAGATCCCCTAGTGCAAGGAGAGAACTTCTAAAGTTCTCTTCACATGCATGCTAGAGACGCATGCGTTGGCCAAGCTCCCCGATGATAAACAAAATACATTTCAAAAGAAGTATGGGCTATACACTGTTTCCCCTGCTGGGGTAGACAGGGAACAACACATAGTTATTGGGTCTTTTACAAAGCAGGCGGGAGAATTAGCAAACTAACACACCAGCTCCAGGCACCTAGGGCCCATGTCCACTGTTTACCATTGGGGTTGTGCTGCCTGACAGGGGCCTCAAGCATCATGCAAGGTGCTCAGCATAGAGTATCAGAGCAGACAAGCAGTGCCAGCAAACACAGGGCCTCTCTGTGTGAGTGTTTGAGAGGAAAATAGCTCAAATGGAGCCTCCCTGCAGGGTTAGAGATACAGGTTTCCTCCAACGTGGGCACTTTCTTCTTGAAGCCGTGTGTTCTTAAACACTGAGAGTGGGCAGGTACGGTATATGCCACTTCCTTCTTGCCACATAATCTCCTTAATTTCTAGAGCTCAAATGATACATCATCGTTTTCAACCCCACAGAGGCAGGAAACTGAAAGGCCACACAACTGCAGCCTCTTCAATATTCTACTGATTAAACTACCTTACATAATTACATTATCTCTTCATAAAGGCCTATTTTACATACTCCTTATGAACAAACCCCCAAACGACAGAGGCTCAATGGCAAAACTTTCTAATGTGCATTCATGTCTTTATTTTACAAATTATAATTCATCAAGACCAACAGTAACAACTTACTGAGGATTTACTTTAAATAAGACAGTATCCTAAGGAATGTACATGTATTGACTTATTTTGTGGTTCATAAATATTCGCCTACATTGACTCATTTTCACATCTACACCACCTCTCTGAGTTAGGTACCATTTATTACATTTTATTTTTTCCTTTTTCATTCTTGAGACAGTGTTGCTCTTGAAGTCTCAAGCCTCATTCCTCAGCTTTACCGTGCTGAGATTACAGGGAACACCATTATTCCTAATCACCTAATCCCCGATTTATAAATTAGCAAGCCCAGGCATTGAGAGGTGACGAAGAACTTAACTGAGTTATTTAAGTAAAGAGACTCATACTGGCATTCTGACTCCAGGGTTCACACTGTTAGTCACTAGGACACAGTGCTCAAATGCTTAGTATCTACAGTCTTCAAATTTTGATACTTCATTCACATTATTTAAAAATGCATTTGTTGAACTCTCCACCTGTACCGTCAGAAGTCTCTTGACTGTTGTCAGGTTCATACTGGTAGATGCAAGGCTTTCCAACATTATAGTTTTTGGTTAAGGTTTCAATTTTATCACTGGCAAAAAACAAAAAACTACCCCCTGTCAATCATTTTCCTTGAAGTGACAATCTCTTTTCATTCATTGTTGGGAAATGAAATGTCAAATTCCCAGGTTGGAGGATTTTTTTGTTTGTTTGTTTGTTTGTTTGTTTTTTCAAGACAGGGTATTTCTGTGTAGCTTTGGCTATCCTAGACTACCTTTGTAGACCAGGCTTACCTCCTGCCTCTGCCTCCCAAGTTCCGGGATCACAGGCGTGTGCCACCCCCACTCAGCCTGCCGGGCATCTTCGTTTTAATGGAGCTATGCCATCCCGTTAAAAGAAAGAACTGCTAATTCAGCTAACAATTCCATCAACTTCGAAAGTGCTTTTCTTCACCAAAATGCTGTCCTTGGGCAGGCAAAGGAAATGCTTTATGCATATCTCTCACTGCACTGCAGGGCTGACAAAAAGATACACTCTAAGCACAAGTTTTAGTAAAATTAAATTTATAGTGCTTCATTGAGGGCAGTCTTAAGTGAAAATGGAAATTAGTTTTCTCCTATGAGTCATGATAGGGGGCCCAGTACACGCTGACTACTTACTTGTATTACTGCTTTCTTTTGCTATGATGAAACATTAGAAGTTTGGTAATTTATTACAAGAAGAAAAGGGGCTCATTTAGCTCAGTTTTGGAAGGTGAAAATCCAAGATCAGTTAGTCTCATCTGTTTCCTCATGGTGGGGGTACCCTTGGCTGGCCAACCCGAGGGCTGTGCAGACTACCCTTGACCACAGCTCCTCTCTCTCACACACAAAAAGCACGTACTGATTATTTGATTATGGCGCACACTTTATGTAAATAAAATGAACAGCCTCATGGGGTAAATTCACGTTCCATAAAACTTCTCTAGTATAACTGTGGTTCGGTGTGTAGATTACCACAGCCCAGGTTTAACGATTCCATCATTCAAAAAGAGTCTCCTTAAAACCATTAGTTGTTGATCCTCATTTTCCTCTTTAGGTCCCAACACGCATCACTGTCTCTACAAACCTGCATTTCCTACATTCGCATAAATGACATCCATGGTGTAGCCCTTTGTTTCGGCAGTTTTCACTTGGCACACTTTCGCAATTTACTCACGTGCAGCATGCCACAACTTCAAATTTGTTTTAATTTTAAAATAACAGCCCAGCATTTGAACATACCATATTTCGCTCACCTAACCATCACTTACTGGATAATTTAGGTTGTTCTCAGTTTGTGGCTATTATGAAGACTGATATCATCAGCATTCACATGATGAGCTTTTGTGTATGTACAAATATGTTTTAATTTCTCCTGGGGAGATGTCTGGAACTGTTGGGCTGTACAGTAAGCTTTGTGTCCCTATTGAAAACATCAACACACTGTTTTATAAAGTGGTGGCATGATTTTACATTCCCATCTGCAATGTGGGACGGGTCCAGGTCCTCCACATTTCACCATCAACACTTGGGCAGTTTCTCAATTATTCCTATTCCAGTGGCCGTGTAGGGCTATCTCACTGGGAACTCTGTTATTAAATTTTGACTTTTAAGAATTTGTTTTTATTTTTTCCCTATGTATCACCCCAGGATACTTTGAGCCTTGCTACACAGAGTACTGATACATACACTGGTTGCCTACATTTATCAAAGAAAGCCAGCTTTGTATTTGTTTAGAAACATAATTAACTTGTACTTCAGGAGTTGTTTGTCGGGGGTGGAGGGATGACTTGCCTTTTTGTAGAGGGGATGGGACAGGACACAAAAAGAGTGGGAAGAGATTGGTGGGGTGGTAGAGACTGATGGTCACAGCTGGATGAGTTAACTTATCAGGAGGCTGAGAGCTATGAGACCCCTGCTCTAGGAATGAAACTGGGGGAAATAGGAAGAAAAAACTAGGATGCTATTTCCCTTAGAAGACGAAACCGTCTCAATGCTATTTCACCCTTAAAAACTATGCACCCTACACAAATCAGCTGGGGACAATAAGAACCAAGCAGAAGGGACGGTCTTCCTCTCTCCACACTGGCATTCGGACTCTCTGGGACACTTGCTAAAACACAGGCTCCAGGCCCATTCAGGACACCCTGAGTCTCTGCAGGCCAAGGGGTCTGCAGCTGAAAAAGGAGTTTTGCGATTGTTTAAAAATCTGAGCACTTCACTTCGGAGTAAAGAAGCCTTCATACTTTGATTTCCCCATTTGCCCCGCACAGAGCAGTTCCTGTGGCTCTGAGCAGGGCAGCGGCCCCTTTGACTCTTAGGCTCAGTGGCTCCATCAGCTGGAAGAGGCATCCATCTTCCAAAAAAAAAAAAGCTTGCAAACTACTGTCAGGTAGCAACAAGCTTATTTAAATGACGAAGTAAGTTTTCCTTGGCTTGGAATAATTTCTTTCCTGAGGAGCAGCACACTTGTCAAGGCACAGTAAACGTCTCATTCCCTCCTCAGGTGCAGAGACAGTCAAAGCAACTGTATTAACCAATGCTGCTGCCAAGAGTTCCCCTACTCGCCTGGCAATGGCTTTC